GGACATGCCTACTTTCATCTGGATTTTTTCAGCTGTGAGGATTAAATTAGCTAATTTTTTTTTATGATGGTGAGCTGAATAACAGACTTTGCTATCATGGCAAAAGTCCCGTCTTATTAATTTACTGCAGGATACATCAACACATGCTTCCTTGTGTTTTTACTAAGATGGGTATAGTAAAAGCTAAAAGTATGAAAAAAGCTGGGACATGATTTTCTACATCTCTGTGGTATAAAATATTCTCATAAATTTATGGGGGGCAGGGAAAAAAGGTGTAAGAGTAAAGTGTGGTCATGGTTACACAGACAATCAACAAACACTGAGCTGAACCTTTAGAATGTCTCTACATTTTTAGTTATCTGATGATTCGAGCCGAGTACAGCTCTTAATAGTTTTCAGAAGCTCTTGTGAGAACAAAGCCAAGTGCACCACGTCTCCTTCTATAGGAGCAGCTACTCCTTCTGGAAGTCATTATTCACTGGTTTGCAAACACAAGAATCCAACATCAAAAGAGTTGACAGAACTCCTGTGCACAGCCAAGATGCTATCATTCATAAAGGACATTTGACAAATTACCTTTTCAATGAAAAGGCATGTAAATGCTTAGTGCTGGATTATTTTTCCTATTTGCTGAAGAAGTTGAAACTAAGTTAAAAAAGCTCAAACAAACAGGACGATGGTTTTAAATTAACTAAAAGCTAAAAAAGAAGAATATTAACAAAGAAAAGTAGCAAAAAGCTAACCAAAACTAGACTAATACTAGCTAAAAGCAGCAAAGTTTAGAATATTTCTCAAAATAAAAAGAGGCTTGACAAAGAAAGCAAAGTGCTTAAGTTAAATTGAAAACAGTATACCGGTAGCTAAAAGTCAAAGTATCAAAAAGCTAGCAGAGTAGCAAAAAATAACTAAAAATAACAAAAAGGTAGCTAAATGCTAAACAACAGCCAAAGGTAAAAGTAACAACAAGTAGCAAATGCCTAACTAAAGTTTTAATGTAACTAAACGCTTGCTAGAAGCTAAAAGTAACAAAGTGGTAGGTAAAAGTTATAAGCAGCTTAACAGAATCTAAAAATTGGCCAGCATTAAATACATTTTGACTGTAATTAGCTGAAAAGCTAAAATTATGCTGGTAAGACCAAAAGAAGTGGAATACAAGCTAAAAGCTAACATACGTGTAACACTATCACTGGTGAAAATCTAAACATAGCAAATCCTAGTATAAAGCCAAAAGAAACAAAAATGTTAGCTCGAAGTAGCAGAAGATGTAAAAACTAGCCTATTTGCAAAAGGGCAGTAAAAGTTAAAATCAGAACAACTGGTAAAAGCAGAAAAAGCAAAAAGTTGCATAAACAGACAAAATGGATCATGTTTAGCTAGAGAACAACAAAAAAGAAAATGTGAAGAAAATGATGTATAGGAATATACAGTAGGCATATTTGTACATAAAGATAAATATATTTTAAAAAATATAAAAGTTACAAAAAGTAAAATAATGTGCTGATGCATCTCAGTAATCCAGGTAAAAAATCAAAAAAAAAATTGTATAGGTCTTCTGGACGGGTTCTTCTCTAATGAAACGTTTCGTCTCTCCTCCAAGAGACTTCTTCAGTCTGAGAGTTTCAGGCAAAATTCAGGCTTTTAAGCACTGCCTCCATGTGACTGATACATCACATGGCTATCGTTGACACCTAATTAACACCTATTGTTAACAGGGGGTGGAGTGATAGTGGCAATAGCAGCACTGTAGGAGGGGGACAACTGAAAACGGAGGCCTCCACCTCTGTTTAATGATGGACGGTCTTTCTTCACAAAAATGGCTTCTTTTACTCCTCTGTTAGTGCCAGGAGGACTGCAATACATCGGGGAAACAAAGCAGCCACTGTTCAAAAGAATGTCCCAACACAGACGAGCTACATCTAATGGCCAGAACTCTGCAGTTTTCACTCATTTACAGGCCAGCGGTCACTCTTTCAGAGATGAGGATGTTCTCATTCTTGATAGAGAGGAACGTTGGTTTGAGAGAGGAGTAAAAGAAGCCATTTTTGTGAAGAAAGACCGTCCATCATTAAACAGAGGTGGAGGCCTCCGTTTTCAGTTGTCCCCCTCCTACAGTGCTGCTATTGCCAGTATCACTCCACCCCCTGTTAACAATAGGTGTTAATTAGGTGTCAACGATAGCCATGTGATGTGAGTGTCAGTCACATGGAGGCAGTGCTTAAAAGCCTGAATTTTGCCTGAAACTCTCAGACTGAAGAAGTCTCTTGGAGGAGAGACGAAACGTTTCATTAGAGAAGAACCCGTCCAGAAGACCTATACAATTGTTTTTCTTTTTGAAAACATAAAATAATAATCTCCTGAATGAACTCAATGACTTGGTATATGGAGTAAATGGCTAAAATAGCAAAAGAGTTTGCACTAACACTGCCAAGAATTAAAAATACATAAATAAACAAAAAAGAAAGAAAAATAAAATACAGAATAATATACTTAATATAAAATGGAGCATGTTTGTTGAGAGTTTTGCATGTTAAAAGTAAGATTTTAAATTCTATTCTGAATTTGAGAGATCCAAAACTTTAAAAATATGATCTCTCCTATGATGCTCAAAAGAACTCAACATTTTGAATCAATAGATGTTTTTTAAAAGAATGTTTTGAATATAAAGACAAAGAATGATGGTAGTCTATTATTTGTGTGATAAATGCATGGATCAATTTTCTGCATCTTTCAGCGACGAGATGTATCTAATTTTAGTGATACTGAGCAGGTGGAAGAAAGCAGTCCTGGTAATATTTTCAATGTGGGGGCTGTCTTGATCAAAAATAACACCAAAATTCTTAACATTAGAACTGGAGGCCAAATTATTACCATCCAGGAGAAATGAAAGTTTATTCCCAAGATGCTCCAAAGATTACCTCTGTCTGAGTTTAAAGCAGAAAACTGAAAGTCATCCAGGCTTTATTTTCTCAAAGACAGGCCTGTAATGTAAGTCATTCATTGTCAGGTTTCATGGATAAATTTTAACTGAGTATCATTAACAAACCAACAAAAATGTATCTCATCAATCACAGAACAGTATGAACTGTTTCATCAGCTAAAGAAAGCAACACTGAAAGAAACTGTTGCTCTGGTGTTTGCTGATTTTCAGTCTTTTGTCTTCACACAGATATTTCTGAAACTCATCACAAACTAATCTGATGAGGCTTTCCCACACTGAGAAAGAAGACTGTTGTTTGACTCCCACTGCTCAAACTGTTCTTATTGTCCAGGTGGTTAAATCATCTGAAACATTTGCGAGGGAGGAAGAACAGCAGATCATGAGGATGAGTTATGATTTTTATGTTTAACCTCACAATATGAATGCGTTCTAAAAATTCAAAACAGCTGAGATTTTTTTTATTCATCCACAGAAACAGTGAACGACATCGATAAGCCAGCACAGCTGTGGATTCTTTTATCCTAGTGCTTTTTTTCCCATTGCAGTACAAGATGGCATGAAAGAATTTCTATAAAACTGTAAACCTCTGATGTGTTTTAAATTTATAATCCTGTAAATATTTGGTTCAGCCTAATTTTATGGATATTCATACCAATTTTTTGGAAGGCACTTAGTAAAAATCAGTTCAGTCAAAAAACAAAAAAAGATTTATCCTGAGATTTATACTGCCCACCACCAACAGGTGGGCAACAATGTTTTTGCCTATAGAGTTGTGTGTCTGTTAGAAAAATATCTCTTCAAATCAAATGACTTTATTGCAATTTTCTGAAAACAATCATTGGATGTACAGTGACTTGCGAAAGATATAACATTTTTATTTTGTATCTTATTTTTTGTGAAGAATCAACAACAAGTGGGACACAATCATGAAGAGGAACAAAATTTATTGGATATTTTACACTTTTTTAACAAATAAAAAACTGAAAAATTGAGCGTGCAAAATTATTCAGCCCCTTTACTTTCTTCACAAAAAAAAATCTTTCTTTGAAGCCTGAAATGTGTCAAAAGGTTGAACAGTTCAAGGGGGCCGAATACTTTCCCAAGGCACTGTAAATCAATATTTGATTAACAAAAACAAAATCATACAAACTCATTGTAAAACTAATTTTTTGCTTGGAAATTTGGCAAACCATGTTAGGTTATGTTAGGAAAATATCTCATAACCCAACCCAAAATATCTCATAAACTATACGATTCTGTGAAAAGCTTCCCACAATAATGCATTTGATCTGACTATATTGTATTTCACACTAATAACTTAGGGTTTAACTGCAACAGATTTGTGCGCAAATAATACCGGATGATGGGTCTCCGATTTTTTTTGCGCATTCTGCGGGAAGAACCCCCCTGTGGTGACATATACTGCTGCGGGAGGGGTTTCCCAGGAGTTTAGCACAGTGTGTCTCAAGGGGCTATGAAAGGTGTGTGCGAAAACGAACACTGAACAACCTTGTGACCGCGCATCATCTGCCGATTGACCACACTGATCCCTAAACCGTTTGATTGGAATTAAATGATTGGAATTAAATGAAAGTTTGTTTGGCCAGTGGCAAATTAAATTTTGCTTCTTCATATTTTTCAGAAGCTCTGAAGAGCCACTTTAAATGAGCTCAGGAGCTACTGGTAGCTCACAAGCTACTGGTTGGAGACCCCTGCCATAGATGATTGTACATGTTAGCTTTTGTAGAGACCTAATAGAGTGCTGTGTGAATGGATAAATGAGGACACAGATTGTAGTGTGAAGAGCTTTGAGTGTCCTGGATGGATAGAACAGCGCTATATACAGTCCATTTACCATTTAATGATTTGTAGCGCTATATTCATTCATTAAAAATGTCCCCATTGGATCACGAGATATTTTGCTAACAGACTGACCAATAAGTACATGCCTAGTCAAACAAAACGTTGCTTGCCACCATAAACAACGGGGTAATAACTTCATTTGTAATTACTTTTCAAGATAAATTGTTTCTCATTTCACATTTTCTGCCACTCTTTTCAGATCCTTCACCAAAATCTGGATTGGCCTTTAGTCAGAGGTTCAGACAGATATTTATTTCCTCATTTCTACATCTTACATCATCTAGTATGGGCAGACATCGCCTTGTGGACAGCTTTTTTCTGATTCTCCTGATTAGTTTAACAAATGCTGGAATTGTCCAAAAGATCCTGCGACATCGACGAGAGACCCTGTCGCCTCCCAAAGAACATAATCTCACCATCCCCAGCGCTGGACACCCTGTTGTTTTCAGCCACGTGTATAACATCAATGTTCCTGCCAGTTCCTTGTGCTCTGTGGACCTGGATGCACCAGAGAGCACTAAACTCCATCCCAAGGATGTAGCAGCAGGCCACCACATCACTGAACACACGCTTGATGGGGAGAACCAGATCGTCTTCACCCATCGTATCAACATCCCTCGACAGGCTTGTGGTTGTACCGAAGATCTGCCCGGCCTGAAGGAGCTCATGAGCCGACTAGAAATGCTTGAAGGAGAAGTTTCAGCTTTGAGAGATCAGTGCAGCAGTGAAGGGGCCTGCTGCAGTGCACAAGTTTCAGGTAGGTGGAATTTGTTTGCCATATTTTTGCACTGCAGCCAGTAAAGTAACATAATCCTTTATTTTTCAGAGTAATACTGAGAAGTGCTTCACGTACAACAACCTCATGAATCTCTTGTGATGACTTACATCTGTTCCCTTCATCTGTTTGGAGTGCTTTGTGTTTTAATGGTTTTTAATGTACGACTGTAAAATTCTCTGCACAGTGCAGCCTCTAAACTCATCAGTTAATGAGGCTTGTGATGAAATGTTACGCCAAGATGATGAGATTTTAGAGGTGGGAATGTTTAGGCACTGAACGATTTGATTCAATTACCATTTAGATTGTTGTGATGTTAATATGAAATGATTATCAATGCATCATTCAAACAAAATCATGAGCATAGAATCTCTCAGACCTGAAAAAAGTTTTCCTCAGCAGTGCAGGTTGTTAGCAATAAATAATACCATACCATACCATACCATACCATACCATACCATACCATACCATACCATACCATAC